GTGTTAAAAGAGTAATTAGAGATTAAACCATGTTATTTTTTTCTATAGACATGTCATAATTTTCCTATGACAAGTCATAGTTTTGAGCCAATAAAATTAAAACAAATAATCATTCTAACTAATTATACTTTTGGAGATTGAATTATAGAGATGCTATCAAAGCTAAAATAATCATAACTCCATCGCGTATATATGTTTATTTTTATATTAGCATATATCAAGTATAGTATTAGTAATACTGTATTACCATCTTGTATTTAGTATATATGGAGAAAACACTTTTTTTTTGTTTTGCTAACATTTGATAGAAAATACTTATTGTTACATCCAAATCTACGGAAGTGTCTTACTCTATTTTCTTTGGAGTAAATGTACTCAAAACCGTAAATTTTTGTATCATAGAGAAACCTTGTAAATGCTAATTAAGCCAATCCATCGCAAGATTCCAGGATTTGGATGATGTTATGATAAAGTTCTCCATCACCGGCCTTTATGTTGGTTAATCCCTAAAACCAAATCTCACATGTTTGATATTTACATTGATCAATTTACAAAAGCACTTGTAATCATTATATTAGAGAAAATAAAACATTTGTATATCTAAACAAATATACCTTGTTGAAGAACAAACCCCATGTATAAAACATACCAGAAGAATGTGCATTCAAAAATACCTACAAAAAGAAAATCAAAAAAAAAGTTTAGCATTGATCAAATATGAAATAGTATGGATACAAACAAAAGTAACAAACGAAGAAATAAAAAGCATTACACAAATGAATAAAAAAAGCATACCAAAGTTTGAAGTATATATAGGGAAGGGGGTATAATTTTGAGAAAATTAGGTTTTAGTTTTTCCAAATGTTTATAGGAAAAAAAATCAAATATCTTAATTGAGAATATTGTTGTCGATTGTGTATGTATTTCCATAACTTTTAATAGCCATAATTGTCCAATGAAATATTTCTTTTGCAAATATTAAAATCTTTTGCAGATATTATGGAGAAGGTATGTCCATGATGGAGTTATTGACTTATTGGTTGCTAAAAATACGTAAACATCAAATGGTATATAAATTTTTAATATCATTAATGTTGAAGAAAGATACTACCAAAGATTTTACCATTGATTTAGTGAAACATAGTTTTTGTTCACCAAGAATTATTCAATTTAATTGATTGGAATTAAAAAACAATTTATTATATGTGTTATTATTAATGTTATCTCAGACAATATTATTTAGAGCTGCAACTTTTTTTGAAAAAATGAACATTATAGCATATGGAAAAAAAAAATGTATGTGGAATATTATCATAATATTTAATTAGCTTATTCCTTTGTTTGTTCCTCAATAGATGGGTTGCTCAACAAATATTAATCTTTTATTCATTTGGAATAAATAACAAATCTTGTTATTGGATGGGAAC